CTTTAAGACCCCCACAGATCATAGATTGCAAATCGTGGGTGCACTTTACTTGCCCTGTTTATTTAGAGAATGAGCATTCTTATTTTCCACAAACAATTAATACATGACAAAGAAAGTGCATGCTTTGAATTTTCTCCAATAATAAAATCAAGAGATTGAGTTAAAATTGAGTAATGATATTTGTCCACCTCAAAATCGGATGAATTGGCTGAAATTTTGTCAAAAGCTTTACTGATATCAATACGTTTTGAAAAACAAAAAGGTTATTCAAATGCCATTTTAGTTTGTGTTAATATTGTTTCGTTTTCTTTTAATTTATGTTGTGTTGTCAAAAGGTTAAGACGGTAAGATTTATAAAATCATAAATACTAAAAAATAAAAATGATATATCTAAAATATAGTATTTTTAGTTATAAAAGTAAAAGGTAGTAAGAAATCGTTTAGGCGAGATGTCAAGTGCTTTGAAGTTTGTTTCCCCCTGGGCTCGGTGGCGATCCCCCTCCCAAACCACCTGACGGCGACGGTGGATGCCCAACCCTTCATCATGTATCCTTCAAGGAAAAGGTAATAGGCAAAACGGTTACGCAAACAAAGGCTCGTGATTTGCTTGTGGAAGGTGAGATGAATATGGAACTGGAAGGCGGGAATAGACTTCTACCGAAATTCACGATTGCCCCTTCGACCTTCGATCAACTCTGTAACCCATGGAGGGCATGCTTGGTGGTGAAACTCTTAGGCAAACGCCTAGGCTTTTTCACTTTACGCGAAAAAATGAAAGCCACATGGAAGCTAGCGGGTGGATTTGAACTCCTGGACGTGAGCAATGGATACTTCTTGGTGAAGTTTGACATGGAGATAGATAGAGACAAAGTGATCAATGAAGGACCGTGGATGATATTCGACCATTATCTTACGGTCAGACCATGGTCGCCGGATTTCTCCGCATTGGAGGACCACATTGAAAAAACCATTGTCTGGGTACGTTTTCCGAATCTGAACATGATGTTCTATAATGAAAGCGTCTTACTGACGTTGGCATCAGCCATAGGGAAGCCTTTACGGGTGGATAACACAACTATGAACATGCTTAGAGGACGCTTTGCCAGAGTATGTGTTGAGATCGATCTGAGTCAACCTTTGGTAGGCAAATTTAGTCTAAATGGGAAGTGGCACAACGTAGAGTATGAGGGTCTCCGCATGATATGCTCTGCGTGTGGGTGTTATGGCCACATCACAAGGAACTGCCTTACCAAAACACACCCCGCAACAGAGGAGCCGCCAGCCGTCGTGTTGCCACAGGACCATGGAAAAGACACCTTACAGGAATTCACGTCTAGGGTTACAACAATTTCGGAACAAGAGAATATTACGTTGCATGATAGTCGCGGGGAATCTTCCACAAAAACTGACTCATCTAATATTGAGCCACATGGTGAGTGGTTAGTGGTTAAACGTAAAAACCGGAAAAGCGGGCACAAAAGTATGGGCAAATCATCCAAAGATTTGTCCCAGATTTTCTCGTTCCAAGCGGGCGGGAAGAAAGGCAAAGACGTGGCAGGCAAGGTGGGGCCTAAGCCCCCTCCGAAACATGGGTCTTGGGGTGGACCACCTCAGCACGACATTGTGGGTCCACCGCCAGCTCGTGTGCCAACACATAATGGAAAAAAACGCTTCTGTTTGGAGGTGCAACACCCGTCGGGCAGCCCACAGCCCCTCCCCGATGAGATCCCTAAGACTATGCCTGACCCTACACAGGTTACCACTGAATCAGCTAGCTTACGAGACATGGGTGAGGGTGGACTCTCGATTCATAACCTCCACCATGTACAGGGTATTCGCTACACCATGCTAAATGACGACGAGTCCTTCGAACCAGGCATGGATAATTCTGTGAGAAAGGAAAATAATTTGGAGGGGGTGGCACATCCTCCAACAACCACCATGGAGGAATAATCAGTCCGAATCTTTGTCGTGCCAGATCCACATTTTTGTTATCATGTTATTTAAAGATATGAATATCCTAGCTTGGAACATTCGTGGTGCGGTCAAGGCCAAAGGCAAACGACGTACTAGGGAACTTGTATCCTGCTACAAACCTAGTATTATTTTTCTCTTAGAAACACACTGTCCCTTTCAAGTTGTTGCTCCATTCTAGCATAATCTTGGCTACGACATTCATGGCCTCTCTAAGGCACGAGGGCATGCAGGAGGTATCTGGGTTCTTTTACAGACTACTGATAAGCCTTGGGTGCAGGTTCTTACACATAAATATCTCCAACAAGGCTCCATCTTGAATCACTCCCCTCCTCTTGGAGCCTCCTATGTGTGGCGCAGCATTAACAAAGCTGCTTTGGCATTACAGGCAACTTTTGGGTCTCGCCTAGGCACGGGACAATCACATTTTTGGTACACAAATTGGCTTGGGACCGTCCCTCTATGACAACAGGTGTCTTTTGTGGATATTCACGATTCCTAGCTACGGTTATTCGAGCTTTGGGACACAGATGGTTGGCAACTACACCGTCTACACACATGCATGCCTCAACAACTAGTGGAGCGAATTCAACAAGTGACAATCCCTCAGAATCAGGTGGGCGACGATAGAATTGCTTGGTTTGGAAGTAACAATGGAGTGTTTTCTGCATCGTCAGGTTACCATTATATCCTAGGCCATGGAAGTCCTACAGATAGGATTTGGAGGAAGCTTTGGAAGTTACCAATCCCTGAAAAACTAAAGTTTTTTCTCTGGCAAGTTTTGCATGATGCTCTTCCCACGAACTACAAAAGATTTACGTGCCATCTGGCTCCGTCTCTAGCTTGCACGCATTGCTCTGCGATTGAGGAGACCACCCTTCATGTGCTCCGCGATTGCCCACATTCGAGGGAACTATGGTATAGGATGGGCATTGCTTCTACGACGATGATGTCGACTCCCAACCTACATCATTGGCTTTGACATATTTTCAATCATGAAAAGCGAACTTTGATCCTATCTACACTTTGGTGTAACTGGAAATGGCGAAATACCCAGGTAATCGCCAACACCTCCTGGAGTGTCACGTATGTTTGTCAACTAGTTGGACGACAGAAGCTTGAGTGTCATCTTTATTGCTCAAAAACACCTCAGGAGCTAGATGTTCACTGGGCCCCTCCTGACCAGGGAGACGTGAAACTGAATTTAGATGGCTCTTGCTCTAGCCAAAAGTCGATGGGTGGCGGATGTGTTCTCCGGGGTGGCCGTGGAGCTTGGCAATTTGGATTCTCCACATGCTATGGCCAAGGCATTCCTCTTCTCGCAGAAATTCTGGCAATAACGGATGGACTGATGCATGCTTGGAGGTTGGGGTATAGAAATATAACCTGTGAAACTGACTGGTATGGAAGCAATAGATGCAATCAATATCTCTGATATGAGGGAGCTGTCACTGCATGTGCATAAGGATAAGCTTTTGCAAATACATAATAGTTTAAGGAAGAACTGGAGAGTGAAGATCGTGCATATCCCTCGAGAGTGAAACATAATGGCGGATTGCTTGGCTCATGAGGGAGCCAATGGTTTGATTAAAGAGTTCATTACCCCTCCACCCCTAGCCCTTGAAGCTTTCCTTCAAGATCTAGCGAATGTAGGCTAGTTAGTTTCATACTGTTCTTGTTTTCTTTCTCTTATTTTCCTTTCTCTACAAAAAAAAAAAGGTAAAAGGTAAAATTCATGACAACTGTAATTTAAAATTATAAAATATTTAATTATTAACTACTTTAATATTAAAAAACCAGATGAGTATTTAAGACAATATTTAATAATTTAAGGGATAAATTAGAATACAATATCCTAATGACAACTGTTCTAACAAGTCAGAATAGGAATAAATTATTAAAAAAAAATTCAAATCAAAACATTTCAATTTGAACAACATTCTTTTTATTATTTGTTATTCGCTCTCTATCGTATAACGAATGCTGTCTTAAATTATTTTATTAATAAATAAAAATTAATAAATAGATAAAAAAAAAATAATAGTCTTATAAAATTAATTTTACAATTATTTATTTTTACTAAAAATAAAATAATAAAACAATTATTTTCTAAATAATATTATTAGAATTATAAATAAAAAATAGACCAGTAAAATTATATTACAAATTAACATGATATTTATTTTGATACTTATTTTTTCGTTTAACACAATTATTATGAGGGACAAGTAAAATTTACTGAAATACATAAATTTTAACATGTTACACATTTTGTAGATCATTTTATTCTTTTATAATTCAATTATACATATTTTACTTTCTAATTTTTTTTTCACATTATAAGTAATTTATGCATTTTTAATATCAATTTATTATTATATAATTTTTATTATTTATTGTTTTTAAAAATAATTGAGGTAGGAAGTGACTTTTATAGGCTAACAAATATGGTATATTTAAAAATAAAATGATTAAGTTGAAGGATATAATATTTGTTTGTGCGGAAAGTATCCATAATTAATAAATTTGTTGTGGTAAGTGGTAACGCAGGCGCAGAGGTCAAAGTCAAAGGTAATGCGACATATTGCATATACATCAACGTCACCCTGGAAATGGAAGAAACTAGATCCGCAACATTCCAAATAAAAGAAATTAACAATAACAAGGAAACCGCAGCATCATCCATTCTGCGCATCTTCTCCATCCTTCAAAACCACACCACCCACTCCGGAGTCTTTCCGAAGGCCGTCGTCGATATTACTTTCCCGAGTGCAATTTGATAAAAATTTATAAAAAATAAATAAATTCTCAAATAATATTATTTTTTTTAAGGAGAAACCACATTCAGAAACTTTTAAGTTCAGATTAAAGTAAAAAAAAATATGTATACTGTTAAAAGGAGAAAGAGAGAGTGAGAATTGAATGAAGTGTACTGCGTACCATGTTTAGTAAAAATAGTTTACAACATTCGAATGTGCAAACAAAAACAAAGTCTCACCCTGCATTCTGCAATACAGCTTGCACTCATTGTCCATGCATGGTCATTGGTCTCACAGCAACAAAGGGCAATTTCGTAAATCCATCGCAATCTAATTTCCTCGTCCGTGACTTGTTCAACTTTGGCGTACATAACACCTGCAAGGTAAACAGATAACGTGAAACAATCCAACATGTTCCGTCACACTTTATTTTCACTGGCCACGCTCCTTCTTCTCTTATCCCACCGCGCCAGCACCACGGCGCCGGAGCAGGCTCCGCCGCCGCTTGCAGGCGCGGCGAGGGAGTTCCTGGAGGCGCACAATGTGGCGAGAGCCGCAGTGGGCGTGGAGGCGCTGAAGTGGAGCGAGAAGCTTGGCAACGCGTCGAGCCTCATGGTTCGTTACCAGAGGAACAAGAAGGGGTGCGAGTTCGCGAACTTGACGGCGAGCAAGTACGGAGGGAACCAGCTGTGGGCGGGGGTTATGACGGTGGCGCCGGGCGTGGCGGTGGAGGAGTGGGTGAAGGAGAAGAAGTTCTACGTCCGCGAGAACAACACGTGCGTGGGGAAGCACGAGTGCGGCGTTTACACGCAAGTGGTGTGGAGGAACACGACGGAGGTGGGGTGCGCTCAGGCCACGTGTGTGAAGGAGCAAGCTAGCTTGACCATTTGTTTTTATGATCCACCGGGGAACGTCATAGGGGAGGCCCCCTATTGATCCACGCATCCAACTATGCTTAACCTAACTCTGCCTTTTCATCCTCTCTTTATCTATTATGCATGCACCATGCCTTTTTATGTTTCGAATATGACTTTTGCCTATGTTTATTTTCTGTCTTCATGTCATTTGTAATTTGCTAATGTTGATGATTTTAAGTAGGATGATAACTTTGTCAAATTTGCTTTGTATTTTTGGTGGTTGGGATGGTTAAGTGTTTGAGAAAAAAAAAAAGTACCATTGATAAATTATTAGGTAGTGTCTATAATCTCAATCAACTACCATTTTATATGTATTAAAGATTTTTAACTTTAAAAAAATAATAATTACATTTGATTACACGTTGAACTAATTAGAATCATGTGATTCTAGATTATTTAATAATTTCTCAGAATCATATAGGTTAGTGTTTTGATTAATAATTGACCTTTTTTTATATAATTACATGCATGTCCTGAATCCGCTTGACAAATTTTGGAACGATATTGTCTTATTTTATTGAATAAGAATTCCTCGAATCATCATGACACTCAAATCACAAAGCTATAACACTTCTTTTTTACCTTCTAGCGTCATATAGCACCCAATTGTTGTATGCATTTACTTTCTTTGTATATAGTTAATTTACCGGAATAGGGGTGAGAGGCCAAGTCAATAAATTTAGTATCAGTCTATTAGAGTTAGTAGGAAGTGTTTGTATCTTCGCCAGCAAAGATAAAATTCTTGGTTTGAAAAGTATATGAATATCTAATTAAACTTCAGAAAATCTTTTTTATTTATTTATATTATATATGTTTTAAAAATAATTCAATATCGAGTGCGTGGATCAACATATCTAGCACTGGACAGTAATGAACCTGACTTCCAAGACTTCAAGTGCGCATCAGGGAGAGGGTGGCTCCCATCAAATACGGACCTGAATCAACTGTGTCATGTAAACCCAAAAATCTTACAACATGACTTTAAATATTGGTATTTTTTTAGTGCATGGACCAAGATACAACTTACATCATGTTTAACATTATTGTCAATTTGTCATTCATTATTCTGTTCAGCGTGAGAGTCTACCTGAAAAAAAATAGAAGGAAAAAAAACTCCACTTTTGTACTAGCTTTAAGTGTTCATTCAATAACATTTGTTTCAGAAGCTGGAGCCAGAAAATTGGTTCTAGGGTCAGATCAATCCAATTAACACCAACCTCGTTGACAAAATAAACCCTTTATGATTTAGCCATCACGTTATTTCTCATTTGATTATAATATTAATTGCGGTGATCTAAAACCATTTGTTTTGTCTTTAAGCTCACTTCAATAGTAGTTCTATTTTATAATACCCAACATGTTAGACAATCACCAAACATATACATGTGCTGTGGGATTAGCTAGTGCATCCACAGTAGCAACACAGGTTAATTATTTACACCGCTGCAATTATAGGTAGTACAATGGCATAACATAATATAACAATGCTTCACATTGTAATATTATATCTCGCTGTACCCTTTCTACTTTGTACAAAAAGAATTACATAGATCAAACAAACAAAGCAGATCACCTGCCACAGTAAGAAGTGACTCTGCCAAGTAATCAATCATTTTACCATATCCTTAGATATGAGGTATCGAAAAGTAAAGTTGTGTGGAATCCATTCTATGTACTTCCGGGATTTTGAAAGTTGACATTTCTTAACACTCTTTCTTAAGGATTCGGGTAGAGATTCTAGGATCATGTCCATGACACCATTGGGGCACAAACCTGAGTCCTTGGTGAATGATTCAACAAGTTTTGGTAAGAGTATTTTTTGGTCCTTGCGTACCCCCAAGTTAGCTCGAATGTACTCGTCCTTTGCAACTTCTAGCTCTTGAAACACCCTCTTTGGTGTATATACACGTACCTGCATGTCAAACGTCACCAGAAGATAACAACTCAATAGAGTTAAGTAAGTGAAAATTAAAAAATGGTTAATCTGTTTGTCCATATATTTATTACTTAATCCCCTGCATTCAACTTGTTTGGTTAACTTAACTAGTACACGGTGTCCTGGTTTTCAACTAACACGGAATAGTCCATTTTATCTTCAAAACAAAGCAAGGCATGCTTGAAACAAATTCTTGTCCCTTTTTCATCCTCGAATTCAGACCCTCAATTTAAAACCAATAACTTAGGGTCTAACTAAAGAGGGAAGTTATTGCCAATTAAGATTTTTTTTTTTTCACTTAGTTGTCAGATTTTGATTTGGAGACAGCAAAAGGGGGGCATAGGATGCGAATCCAATGAGAATAGTCCACTACTCACTGTACATTCCATGTTAAACACAGTTAAAAGTAATTTTCTTCCATATGTAATAACACCACCAACGCAAGCATCACATTTACATATAGTATTGTCAAATTAAGACATGGAACAACTTTTGCAAGTTATTTAATTCCCTTGCTATAAAAACATGATTAGTCTCAATAAAACTGTGTTCAGGGTCAAAATGATTTGTGCTTGATTGCCAGCCAATGTGTAAGGTATTGCTCAAACAAAAAAATGGGCATGCTAGAAATGTAACGAAATTGGATGCAAATGAGAGAGTTGAGGGAATACCGCAGGATCAGAATGGTTTCCTGAACAGAGTGCAAAGTGTGAAAGAGGCTCAGGATGCTCCATTGCATAGGCTTGTCGTCTATCTCCAGCTTTGAATTTTGTCCTTGGAGAAAATAACAAGCGTAGCCACTGCAACAGGAAGCAAGTTTGAAGAAGCAACCATGTAAATCACCAGTGTGAAGAATAAAAAACAACAAATACTTTTCATATGGAGGAGATATTTTATTATTTGAATGCACTTCCATTTTATTTTTCTCAACTTTATTATACAGGGAGGTGGTTGTGAACATAGGATTCACCTGTCCTGGGCGAGATATCCGGCACTTAAGTATAGTACTCTGTATTGTGTCTGCACTAACTGTATGACCCCCAACATTATATGCAGCCTGCAAAGACCTTAGGCTTAAGAGTTTCATCCTTTAATTAATGACTTTAAGCTACTACTCACTCAAATCTCAATGTTTACCTTCAATAGAAGAAACACTCTTTTCACATTGTGTTGTGGAATCCCATAAGCCAAAAATGCCTATTAGAAACAAAAGAACGTATTATAACCCAACTAATCAAGTGGGAAAATATTATATGGAAACATATTCTTGATAAATATAATACTTACATGCATTACCAAAGCATTGTGTATGTTGATCCAAAAAGCTAGCTTCTCCTCGTGTTTCAACTTGCCTGGATCTACTTCTTCCAATCGACAAATAAGTGATCTAAAACAACAAAAAAGGACATGATCATTAAAACTCCACCTTGGACCAAAGAGTTCAATGTTACCATGTACTTTTAACATGAGACCTTCATTATCTTATTCTCATCAAATATAAATTATAAAGCCTCACCTGAAATTCTGTAGCAACTTCTCGGTATCAGCCGATTTCTGACCCTCTCTATAAAGCCATGATACTTCAACCATGGTGCTGTATGGCCCGCTAAACTCCTTAAGTCCTTCCACGTGGAAAGGATTGTCTAAGCGTACATCAAAAGAAGAATTATTCCTGAACCTTGGACTCCACATGTCACCTTGATCTCCAATAGAAAAGGCACTTGCTGAGGACAAGGATGAACTTGGAGATGAAAGGCCTGGATGTGTCATAGGAGGTTCTGCAAGCTTACAATATATGGCTGATATGCACTTGACCATATCCTCAGAAAGTTTATTAGGTGCCACTGAAACATGATCAGATATTCGGGTACCAAGATGTTCTGCAAGACTGATTATGTTTGAAGAAGAGCTTTGAGCATACTGCATAGAAATAGAATCATGTATTCAAAGTCAAAATCCAAAAAAAAATAAAATTTATGATTGCTATGCAACAACTTAATGTGTAAGAAGCCAAACTATGATCATATTAGATAAACTTTTCCATAACCTCTCATCTAAGTTCTCTAAAAGCTGAAGTAAATGAGTTGATTATAACTTGTAGAAGAAACTAATTTATTTTACTTCCTAATTTCGTTTCTTATAATTGATAAGTTCATCTAAACAAAACTCAAATAACTAATTTTCCATGAAACTAGATTTACCTCCAACATGGACAATGGTTGGGAATGACAGGCACGCAGAGATTTAGCTAAAGATTCTTCTGGAGGAGAGGCTCTTGTAAACGCTGGACAATGGGATAATGACGAATGGCAACGATAAACACCAGAATCTAAGTTCTTTTCTTCTGGAAAATTTTCATCATATTCTTTCCCAAAAATCTCGGGCTCATATCTGTTATGTTCCTTTCTCAGAGTATCAAGTTCGTGGTCATTAGATTGTACTGTAGAACATTCTCTCTTGGTTAAAACCTTAGGCATAGAAACATTGGTGAATCTTGCTCTAGGTGTTGTTAGAGGGAACTTTACACTTTCTTCCTTAGTTGTTGGAGATACAGAAGATAATTGTTGATCAAAAGCTTTACGGTACAAGGAGAGAAGATGCTGTTCCAAGTACACTACTTCCAACTCTAACACTGCAATTTCCTTAATTAATTCCGTGGCAGGCTGGAATACCAAAAAAAATAAAAAATTAGGACTAGTAGAAATGTAAAACAGTGTATATAGGCTGCACAATAATCTTATGATCCAAGACATAGATACATGTGGCAGGATCGATCCACAAAACTAACTATTGTACATTAATGTTTTTACAAATGCACACTTATAGTTCCTAATTTTATAGAGCTCGTCGTTACCTTAGGTATCATCATCTCATTTGAATTAACGAGAGATGGAGATCTGTATCCAAGTGCCTTTTCTAACGTGCATCTAACCTGAAATTGGTCTTGTAATCTTTTCTCTAGCTGTAGAATCTGTTTCAGGGTAATTTAGCAATAAACAAATAAATAATATGAACGAAATCGACATAGTAATTTGGCAGAAGTATGATGAGTCACTAGGCAATGCAGGAGCATGATTAAAAGAATATGGTCCAAGTCACACTGATAATGGATACCCAAGCTTAATAATGGATGTGAAGTACCAAAAAATAAGAAAGAAAACAAAAAAAAAGGGGGCATGGATAAACGGTGCACAGTGCAATAAATATGACTGCAGCAAAATATGCATCAAAAGAATTATGATGAGCAGTAGTTGTGGTATTGTACCTCTTGCTTCAGAGTACTGTGGACTTCATTTATAGGAGTTCGGTTTTTCCTAGCTTTATCACATTCCGTGAGGTAACCCATATCCTGGAGCCATATCAAACCCATACATGAAAAGTAATAAATATTGTTGTGCGTGGGGACTACAGAAAATGAAATCAAAATAGGCCATCAATGTCCTAACAGTATGGATGTGATTAATGAAATCAAACGCATACTGTTTGCCAAAAACCAATTCTCTGTTCATCCATCTTAATTAAACTTTTGGAAATATAGTTATTATTAAATTCTGGTCCGTCATTGACATCATTCATGATATATATTGTGCAAAAAGTCAAAAGAAAAATGATGAAATTTCTTTTCAGCATCATACACGCCTATTCATTCATGCCTAAGAATTTATTTATCTACATGCAGTGCTTTCAATTGCTGAGATTATTATAAAAAAAAATATTAGAAAGAAGTGATTTGAGTGTACCAGTTTCTTTCGATCTGTGGCGTGAAGGCGATTATCTGGATTATCATCCTCAATTTTTTTCTTATCAGGAAGACTGCCATGTAAAGCACAGTAAAGATAAGAAAGCAACTCCTCTTGTATGGTTCCACATGAGAAACAAGAAAAATTATGGATACACATAATTATAAATAACCAAAGAGCCCCTACTTAAGCAACAGGAAAAGCTAAAGCATAAGAAAAAGATAGAAACCTCTTTGAGCGTTTGTGCCTTTGAGTAAATCTCAGTCCCAGCATTTTATTTTCACCACCCTCTTCAAGTCCCATACCTGAAAGCCACCCAAATAAGAGTTGTTCACACGGTAATGCAAATACAATTGACAATTCGCAGAAACAACAATTTCAACTGTTGAAAAGCAAAGCAACAAAGATACAATCCTACCTAGGAACTTCACAAGTCAGAACTCAGATGAAGCACACTTGAGAAATTAACCAAAAGCACTAGCCAAGACTCCAGAGTCCAAATTTAGTTACTAAAAGATTCCAACACTTAACATCACATGTCCCTTTGCATTTCATCAGAGCATAGCCTACTTCCTGGAAGTTCCCACGAAGTGATCATTGGCTGTTAAGTGTGTATGACAGAAGCATAAATGTGGAGAAAAGATTAGTCTTATGACCAAACAATCCTTCTCTATGAAGACTCTCCTCACTCCTCACTTCTAGTGCTAAGCCACTACAATGGCCTTTGTAAAGGATGGCCTTTTGGCATTTGCATCAAAAGAAGTTCTTGGAGTGTGCTTTAACTCAAGAACAAAGTCTTTATAGAATAACTTTGACAATAGTGAGCGAGGGGAAAATGTCAAAGCATGAAAAAGTGAACAAATCTCACTCTAAAGTCTCCCTAGATATATCCAAGTTGTGACCAACGAGAAGAAGAAAATAAATAGTGGCTTGTCAACTGTCGTGAGTGGAAAGTGAATGTGTGAATAGCAGTGTATTTATTTTCAACATTCTCTTCTCTTGTTGGGAAAACAAGTGGGAGTTGGTGACCGTCTGTCCACCCTTTTGTCTCATTTTGCACCCCATTTAATTATACCTTAGACATTAAGCCAGTTGATTTGAAACAACACAATGAAGACAAAATAAATTGGGACAAATATTATCTAGTTTATTTTTGGTAGAAAAGATAAATTGTGATCGAATCAAATGAGTATTTTTTTTTTAGGTGTTTTGGTGCAATCTGTGTACAGTATTAGAAAATCCCTAGTTAAAATCTAGTGGCACTATAACATGTGTGTATCACTCAATCATTTTGTTTGATAATTGTTTTCTCCTGCTTAGGAGCTTAATCATTGTTTTTGTATTACGTACTTTTCTAGTTTTTAGTTAGACTTCTCAAGTTTTACAGATTATAATCAATGATGAGAAAACAAATGAGCGTAAAAAAAATACTAGATTAAAAGAAAGAAAAAGCAAGGATTTACCTAAAAAGGGATGAAAGGTAAGAGATAAAGGACATTGGATGCTTGAAAGGAATAGAGGTTATGTTGTGCCTTGTGGGGTTTCTCTTTGTCTAAATGGCTTTTTGAGGGATGACATGGGAGATACCCATATTGTCCTTCAGTATCAAAGAGACTAACGTTTGTCAAAGAATCTACACATATAATAATATACTAATGGGGCTTGACCTTTCTGGTTGCAAAACCAATACAAAAAGAAAAGGATGGGGGTGTGGTAAGCTGGCCAGATCTTGCTTATAGTAATCATAGAGAACTATTGAGAGAAAAAAAAAAGTTTCTTTTTTCGCTGCACACTTGTTTAGACGTATAGAAGAGTAAAAAGGGAAAAAAAGGAGCATAAGAGACTCAAAAGAAGCTGTGAAAAGATAAAAGGAAAAAGGATCATTAATTGTTAAGAAATGTTCACATGCTATATTATTATATTATCTAATGAAAATATTTTATATATTGAAAATTGTGGAAAGGAGGGGGATTCACCGTAATGATAGTGATATTCAGTGCACAGAATTATCTTAACCTAACTTCTGTTGTTTTATAGCGTAGAAGGTAGGTGGAAAATAGAGCCAAGAAAAGCTACAGAAAAAGACCGGTAAACTTCTTTGATAGGCTAGTGAAGAAACGTTGTTTTGCTTAAACAACGTTATCTATTTTCCTGATAGAGGAGATTATGTCAAAACATATGGCATTACTTGTAGGG